AACTAGACAGCACAGCTTGATGAATTTGTGATTTTTGTTAGGGAAAGCTATACGATGGAACAGATATAGCAGTGAAGAGACTCTCTAGTAGCTCAAGACAAGGCATAGAAGAGTTCAAGAATGAAGTCGGGTTGATTTCGAAACTACAACACAGAAATCTTGTTAGGCTAGTTGGTTGCTGTGTTGAAGGAGAAGAAAGGATACTCATTTATGAATTCCTGGCCAACAAAAGCTTGGATAATTATCTGTTTGGTAGGTTCCATAAAGAAATTTTCTTTTCTCCCATAGTTGCATCACATCACATCGCATCTCATCATATCATCTTTCTAACCATAAAATCGTGATCTTTTCCCTGCATTGAATATTGTTCTAAGAATTATGCCTGCAGGATTAGTAATCTTGCTAGCCTGAATTCTGCTTATAACTTTTGATATATTGCTTCAAAAGAGAATTGTAAATGTTAATCATGTTTCCAGTGAATGCATTTTGTTAGATCCAACAAAAAGAGCAGAACTATCTTGGGCAGAACGTTTCAACATCATTCAAGGGATTGCTCGTGGGCTCCTTTATCTCCATCGCGATTCTTGTTTAAGGGTTATACACCGTGATTTGAAGGTCAGCAACATTCTATTAGATGACAAAATGAACCCAAAAATTTCAGATTTTGGATTGGCAAGGATCTTTGAAGGGACACAATATCTGGCAAATACTCACAAGGTGGTTGGAACATTGTAAGCACAGTTCTTCTTCTTGAACATATTCAACTATTATTCTTCATAAATTAAATATTAACCTAAGAAATTGGCAACAAAAAGTGCACAAATACAAATAAGCTGAGCCATAACCCTTTGTTTTTCTCCTTGAACAAATAGATTTAGCTCCCACCAACAAAGAGTTATGGAAACAAGTTGAATAAAGAAATTAGGTGGTTCAACAATTCAACTAGCTATTGATAAACATTGTCAATATATTAACTTGCTTGTTCCATCATCCAAATAAATTTCAGTGGCTATATGTCTCCTGAGTATGCATTGGGAGGGATATTTTCTGAGAAATCAGATGTCTTTAGCTTTGGAGTTCTGCTATTAGAGATTGTTAGTGGCAAGAAGGTTACCAGGTTCCTCTATGACAATGAACATCTAAGCCTTCTTTCCCATGTAAGTATTGCACTTCTTGTTTCAAATTTGCATCTCTGAATTATTTGTCTTCTAAATTAATACTGACCCATACAACATTGTATCAGGCATGGCAACTATGGAGTAAAGGCAAGGAGCTAGACTTAATTGATGATGCAGTGGCTGACTCATTTTCCTCAATTGAAGTAAAGAGGTGCATACAGGTTGCTCTTCTTTGTGTTCAGGACGATGCTGAAAATAGGCCAACCATGGCAGCAGTGATTTCCATGCTAAGCAGTGAAACAGAGCTTCTGCAACCAAAAGAACCTATTTTTACATTCCATAATCCATCAAAATTTGATCAACCCAGAGACAACAATCCATGCTCCATATGTGAGATTACTCTGTCACTTGCTGAAGGCCGATGACTTCTGATTAGTGAAACCCCACTCTTTTAATACTATTATTGTTATTGTTATTGACAATCAGTTGTTAGATTAAAAAAAAAAATGTAATTCCAAAATATATGAATTTTAAAAATGTTGAATTAGCCCGTTACTATTGTATTGCTGCTGGTGCTAGCACAAATCATCATCATTTGCAGATTGTTACTGGATTTAATGGCCTTTGAGCTTGTACTACATAAATCCCAATTGGTTGCTATTGTAAAGTGAGATGTGTATAGCTTTGGCGTACTACTGGAGATTGTGAGTGGTTAGAAGAACACTAGCTTTCATTCATCTGATCACACCAGCCTGATCGATTATGTAATTCTGTATGCAGTTTTTATCTAGACTAGCCTACTCTCAAATTAGAAACTGCACTTTTCTTACAAGCAACTAGAGCTGCAACACTAATAATGAAGTCTCAACTTGTTTCAGGCATGGGATCTTTGGAATGAAAATAAGCCAATGGAGCTAAATGATCCTTCCATTAGGGACATGTAATCCTAATGAAGTTATGAAATGCTGCATGTAGGCATGCTGTGCGTGCTGGATTGTGCAGTACGTCTGCAGTGCTAATTCTAGAAAGAGAATCCCAAAAACTTCCAGTACCTAGACAACCAACTTATAGTTCCATGAGGAGTTCCATAGGTGCAGACTTTTATTTAGATGGACAAGATATTGTATCCTCAAAAGATGTGACAGTTACAATGGTGTCAGGGAGATAGATTTTGTTGTTATTTTCCCTTCCATCACCATCAAGTTATAAACTTCATAAAATGAATATACAATTCATTATTTTGTACCTTATGATCCCAGTTTTTACTCCACCGATTGAGGTATCAAAGTTGTTTCCTTAACTTTTTATGAGAATTAGACATAGGAATGACGATAAACTGGTTCAGGCACAAGCATAGGATGCCAACACCAAGGGAGATGAGAACGTTATACATGCAGTTAAGTTCAGACTTCACAACAAAGTATCCAATAAAATAAAATTGAGCTGCAATACAGAATCCGAAATTGAAAAAGGAAAAAAAGAAGAAAAGAAAAAAAAGAGGGGAGTTATGGACCATGAAAATTACACCTGCTGTACTTAATGTATCGTTGTTAGTTGTAACTAGTAGTTTCCTAGAATCCTATGTGAAAGTACAGAAAATCAATTACAAAATGCTTCCAATAGTCATTTTCCTCAACCGATCAAAGGTAACTATCAATTCCCTGCTGAAATATGTTGTAAGCAAAAATTTTTTCAGTTTCACATTACTGACTTGACCAAAGTTAATTGATTACAGCTACATATATGTTTATGTATTTGTGGAAAACACAAGTTGTCTGGGGTGAGGAAGGACTTGAATCTCTGGGCACAGACATTCCATTCTTCAAAATTCAAATGGTATGTGTAATTCAGACTGTGAACTCTTAGAGTTTCAAGACTTCTGACTTGACATTAAGCCAAGTTCTCATTGGTAGTAGTCATACAATTTTATTTTAGCAAAATAGGGAAAAAAAAAAAAAGGTTTAGAACTTAATCCATGCATTGGGCTTTGTGGAATTTATGTTCATTCAAGCCCCACAATCAAAAGCCCAATAGCTCATCCTAACCGTACACCTGAAGCAAAGCCGCCAGCCAATTGCTGGAAACCCAATGAAGTTTCCAGCTTTACACCATCTTCTTCTCCATTATGCACTGGTTCACCATTTACATCAAAATCACCCCTTCCTTTGTTAGGTATCTGTTATTCCCTAAAGCCGTGCCTATGGCATGGCCTCTTCCTCTGTTAAGAAAGCAGATCGGTTCAATAGTGGCCCTTGAAAAGCAGCCATCAGCGCTGGTCCTTCGTATCATCCCCGGTCTCGTATTTAAGGACCATGGGCCTTCTGTGTTTGCTTTCATTTTTGGTCCATATTTGTCAAATGTAAATTCAGAGGTAAGTTCATCAATAGCCGGGATTTTTACTCTCTCTGTTTGTTTGTGGATTTTAGATACATGGGTTTTAATTGCTTGAAAATTGTTTGAAGTCTTTTCCCTCTTTTTTTCCCATTAAATTCAGCTTTAAGTGATGGACAAATTTAGAAATTGTTTTAATTATATTAAGTTGTCTTCCTTAATATGGTAGGGGCCTTCTTTAATCTTGTAGGAAAATTTACTGTGTAATATTTTAAGATAGATGCAAAGAAATTTTTTGGGAGTACCATCTACTCTGTGCTCAAAAATTGTTAAAATAATTTGGCTTAGGGAAATGATAAGGCGTAAAACTTGGATGGCCAACTTCGCTATACAATCATTTGACAAGGCACCGAGATGAAAAAAATACATATTTTTTTGCGATAAAAAATTTTTAGGCAACCAAAATAAAAATTACAGATCTTAAAATATTATCTTATATAGTACTTACATTAAAATAGTATTTTTTTTACATTAAATTTTTTTAAGATAAAAAGAGAACTTGTTTATATGTAACTTATATTGTATTTTTCTTAAAAATATAAACATAAAACAATATAAACCTAAAACAAAATAATAAGTTTATACTGTTTATTAAAAAGTATTCTATGATATAATTTTTAACAAAACAAAATATAATATGCATCAAATGAAAATTTTTAATATAAACCAATCTAAGAGCATTTTCACTTTTTCCACTTTATTCAGTCAACTCGCAGTAAACCAAAAAAAAAAAAAAAAGTAAAATTTTCATATCAAAGAGCTTAGTGAAAAGGTGCTAAAATGCTAAATTCTTTTGCTAAACTCATTCTTCTTCTGCCTTTTCTGTCCTTTACCGTTTCCTCCATCTAACTTTTCCAGATCCATTGAAGCAACCATCCTATGCTTTTCCACGCCCTTTCCTATTACAAGTTTTGATGTAGATAGCTTTATTGAATAGGATTTGGTAGGGATT